GAAACAAATGTTCAAATTAACAAGATTTCCATCACTATACAGCAAAAAGTTGTCTTTCCAAAATAGATACAACAAAATGCATCATTAAGAAAATATCTGAAGATTACAGAGTTTCTATAAATTGTCTGAGAACCTGCCACATCTAGTTTTAATTCAATCTTCTAATTTTATTAATATGCATTTCCTATCTTAAAAATGCTGATCCATCTATTAAAATCTCCTAAGAACAACATCATCAAGTTAGCAAAGAGCAAAAATGTTTGAGGAAGAAACTAAATCTAATCTGCCTGGGTAGAAATCCCATCTTTGTCAATCACTAGCTGTTTTTAACCTTTTCTTACCTGTTTAGTTGCTTTAGAAAAATAACAATGCTGTGCTAAAAATAGCAGGCTTTGGCAAATGCATGAATATGACAGACATGAGAAGAATTAAAGATGACACAGGGGTATCTCAGCAGGTAAGTACGAAGAGCTAAATGGGAGAAAGTGTTCAGAACAGTGAAGAGACAAGCTCCATGTGGGCCAGGAAAGGAGACCACCATAAGTGGGTGGCAAACAGAAAACCAGCAGTGTGAGCTTAAACACAAAGAGATTTGTGAGCTGATCCACACAGAGATTACAATGGAAAACACAGACACGGCTATATCAATATTTGTCTTCAAAATATTAATATTTTTAAAAAATATTAATATTTTACAAAATGTCTTTTATTTCAAAACATACCCAAATGTCAATAAAGCAGAAAGGTAAGCTAATACATTTCAGTCGCTTACAAACTTTGCAAACTATAATATGAACTCTCTGAACATACAGTCAACAAAATACTCATTATCATAGGTCTCTGATTTGTCTGCGACCTTACCTCATGACAGTAGTGAACCATTTAGAGTTACATGACTCTGCTGTCACCTATGGTGGCAACAGTAATATCTTATAGAGTGCTGATTGCATGTTACACACATTATTCTTCTATATAATTTTTCCCCATTAAAATACTAAAATTATAAGGCAGAGGTCCCATTTTCAGAACAATCGGGAACATATATATGTGATCCAGCTTTAACTTCAAATTTACTTGGTGAATCTCTCAATTGTGCTGTTGATGCTTATCAATTTACACTGATAAGAACATAAACACTATGGAATTTTGCCAGATTCTTCTTGTTTTGCTGTCTCCAAACTATCTCAGTGATGTCCATACTTCCTTTCATATTCACTATTAACTGCTTTCATTTTTATCAACTAGACTTGGTTCCACCTCCTCCTCCAATACTATAAATTACTGTTCTAATCAAAAGTATCTATTAAACAACAAAAATCAGAGCTCTTCCTTCCACCAAAACTACTCACTGAGTAAGAGGAGGATTACTCATTCGTGCAGCAAATGAGATGCTCTGTTAGTTCTCTAAATTCCCTTTTAGCTCTAAGCAGATCACAGAGAGGCCTTCCTGCTGCCACCTCATCTAAGGATTATCATGGGTATGCACTGGCCAAGGCACACATACAGCCACATCATTCTCAATTCAGTTTCATTTTCTTTAAAAACCACTCTTCAAGTACCACAATGCCTTTTTTTAAAAGGTGATATTCATTTTTGAATTTTAGTTTTTATTTAAGCTTGCTTCACTGTTCATTTCTTTCTCTCCCTTAGCATGTGAAATCACCTTGTTAATTCCTCCAGAGCAAAACTCCTATCTGACACAGTATACAAGCCCCAACCACAAAGTGGTGGCTAAATAAATGCTTATAAAACAAATCCATGGCTAAGAGGCCAATTAGTCAACTCCGCACCTCTGTGAAAGCCTGAAAGATGCGTCCTCGCAGCTGTGCGCCCCTTAAAGGGGCGGGCGGTCATCAGCTGGCTTCCCGAGTTCCCTCAACAAAGATTCTTCACCTGGAGTACAGGGAGTCAGCACATTTGAGGAAATAATGGGGGAAATGAAGAGCAAAGACCAACCTGAACTTTACATATCTTGCTCTCATTACCCAATCCCCAAACCACAGGAGTATAAAACAAAAATGACCCTTTCACGTAAAGATGTTGCAATACTAACTTTACTGAGTCTATTACCACAGTTCACTGGGGCACTCTCATCCAGGTGTAGGTCTAATGTTTTTTCCACCATAAAAACCAATCTTGATAGTTCTTGAATATAAAACCAATTTTCGTTTCTTAAAATATAAACTGCTCTCAGTTTCTACATTTAGCATCTGAAAAGTACAAATTCATTCCTTTCTAGAATGCAACTTCAAAGGAGAAAATGGGCTCACTCATCCTCCACAGCTGCATCCGCTGTGCCTAAAACATGTGGGTGACAATAAGTATTTGTTGAAAGAAAGAATACATATATATTTCAATTGACATAATAAAGGAGCCGCATTTAAGCACCTGGGGGAACTCTGAAAGGGAGTACTAGCTGAAGTACCTCACTGCTTACTCTTAACAGAGCAAAGAAAATTAAAAAACTGAAATACAGAGCCTGCCTCTGTTTTGTACTCTCAAACTCTGCTACAGCTGCCTGGGCAATGCCAGTGAGCAGATGCTCTATTCTTTATCCTTTAATGGGAAACAACTGCTCTCCCAGGTTGCAAGCAAAGAATGCATAGACACATCTTCCTAGTGTCCAGATTTGTACTGTCCAACAAGGTAGCCACAACATGTGTCATTCAAGCACCTGAAATGTGGTCAATATGAAATGAGATGTCCTGGAGATGTAATATATAAACCAGATATGTGAGTATTAGCAACATTTATTTCTGCTTCATTGGCTATGCCAAAGCCTTTGACTGTGTGGATCACAATTAACTGTGGAAAATTTGGAAAGAGATAGGAATACCAGACCACCTGATGTGTCTCTTGAGAAACCTGTATGCAGGTCAGGAAACAACAGTTAGAACTGGACATGGAACAACAGACTGGTTCCAAATAGGAAAAGGAGTATGTCAAGGCTGTATATTGTCACCATGCTTATTTAACTTATATGCAGAGTACATCATGAGAAACGCTGGGCTGGAAGAAGCACAAGCTGGAATCAAGATTGCTGGGAGAAATACCAATAACCTCAGATATGCAGATGACACCACCCTTATGGCAGAAAGTGAAGAAGAACTAAAGAGCCTCTTGAGGAAAGTAAAAGAGGAGAGTGAAAAAAAGCTTAAAGCTCAACATTCAGAAAATCATGGCGTCCAGTCCCATCACTTCATGGCAAATAGATGGGGAAACAGTGGAAATAGTGACTAACTTTATTTTGGGGGGCTCCAGAATCACTGCAGATGGTGATTGCAGCCATGAAATTAAAAGACGCTTGCTCCTTTGAAGGAAAGTTATGACCAACCTAGACAGCATATTAAAAAGCAGAGACATAACTTTGTCAACAAAGGTCCATCTAGTCAAGGCTATGGCTTTTCCAGTAGACATGTATGGATGTCAGAGCTGGACTATAAAGAAGGCTGAGTGCCAAAGAACTCATGCTTTTGAACTGTGGTGTTGGAGAAGACTCTTGAGGGTGCCTTGGACTGCAAGGAGATCCAACCAGTCCATCCTAAAGGAGATCAGTCCTGAGTGTCCATTGGAAGGACTGATGCTGAAGCTGAAACTCCAATACTCTGGCCACCTGATGTGAAGAGCTGACTTACTGGAAAAGACCCTGATGCTGGGAAAGACTGAGGGCAGGAGGAGAAGGGGATGAGGATGAGATGGTTGGATGGCATCACCGACTCAGTGGACATGGATTTGGGTGGACTCTGGGAGTTGGTGATGGACAGGAGGCCTGGTGTGCTACGGTTCTTGGGGTCACAAAGAGTCAGACACGACTGAGCAACTGAACTGAACTGACCTAAGCACAAGAAAAGAATATAAAATAACCCCTTGAAAACTGTTTTATATTAATTACATTTTGAAATGATAGTATTTTGGATATACTGGAGTAAACAAAATATATTATTAAAATATATTTCACCTATTTATTTTTACCTTTACTAAGGTGACTTAGAAAATTTAACAATATTTGTGTGGCTCACATTTCTAATGGATGGTGCTTATCCAAACTGACAACAAGAGAGTCTACATGGCATTAAAGGAATGTTCACTGAAAAACAGCAAAGTCTGAGTCCTCATTTCTCAATCCATAACTAGGGAAATGAACTAGATTTTCTACCATGTACTAGTGTGCCATCTCCCTTATTGTTGTTTAGCTGGTTAAGTCGTGTCTGACTTTTGTGCAACTCCACAGACTGTAGCCTGCCAGGCTCCTCTGTCCATGGGATCTCCCAGGCAAGAATACTGGAATGAACTGACATTTCCTACTCCAGGGCATCTTCCCAATCCAGGAACCAAACCCACTTCTCCTGTGTCTCCTTCACTGGCAGGTGGATTGTTTACCACTCAGACCAGGGAAGCTCCATGCAGTCTCCCTTAAAGCCTACCTTAAAGGCTCTAAATAGCTTTGGGAGGTAAACATATTAGCCTCGATTTACAGACAAACAAAATGAGGCACAGAAAAGAAAAAGTTTTACGCAAAGTTACAGAGCTGATAAATCAAAGGGCAAAACATTGAACCAAAGTCAGCAGGATTTCAAAATGCACATTCTTCCCTTTCTCTCCTCCAGTCACTAAGAGGGAACTTTCTCCTTGTTCTCAGAGGCTTAAAGAAGGATGCCAACTGTCTTTCCTGACTCATCCTGCAACAGGCTTCTCTTTGACACTTTATACCCTTCAAGCAATTTTCTCACAGCCACTAAACCACAGATAAGAGAACTAGGTGAAATGGTGGCTGAGAAACATGGAAAAATTACTATAGAGTGGTACCACATACACTTCCGTCTCATGTAGAAGAATAAAGCTTTCTTAATTGGGCATTTTGCCCTTACAGCTCAAAGTTCTCCACTGTACCTGTCACTGTTACTATAACCTGCAACTGAGAAATTTAACTAGTGGGAAACCACTACCTGTGAATTCACTAATTTGGCCAAGCATATTTCACCCATTATGAATTAGCTTACTTAGTCTCTTAGCAGCCTCGAGAGCTTCATTGGCAGTGTCTGCAACAAAGAATCTTTGAACTTTCACTCCGTTGTCAGACATTAATTTCTTACTCTGGTATTCCTGCAGGTTCAGCCATCTTCTGGAGGTTAATTGAACCACCTAGAGAAATTGGGGAAGAGAGATAAGACGACTTAAAACAGAAAGAAAAGTAACACTCAACAGATAGGGCCAGTCTTATAGGTACCTCAAACATCAATTAGCAACAGAAATCTTAGAGGCCAAAATATATATATATATATATATATATATATATATATATATATAATGAATTCTCCATGCTTAATTGTTTTTCTAATCAAAACTGTTAAGGACAACTGCACATACACCCAAATGAATAAGTCTAAATTTAGTTAATGGGGGGCTTCAGTAGTAGCTCAGTCAAGGCCAATTTCCTAATTTTGATACTGGAGTTAAACTATGTAAGATGTCAACACCAGGGGACCCTGGGTGATGAGGACATGGGACTGCTGCACTAGTTGGCAGCTCCCTGTGAGTCTGTAAGGATTTCAATAAAAAATTACTTTTAAAACTGTTAAGGGCTCTGTTGTACAGCATATGCTTTCCCCTGTCTCCAAACAAATAAAGTTCACAGGGTTATTTAAATAACTGTATATACATCATTAAACATTAAGGTAACTCAGGAAATTTGTTTTAACCCTTTGAGGTCAATGGGCCACAGACTAATCCATTTCTTTATTGTGGTTTTTAATGGATTCCATTACGTGTTTAATGAGATTATCTCCAACTCACCAAAGCTGAGTATAGTAACCTGAAATAGTCACCATTAATTAAGTTACTAACTCCTAAAAACTGCAATTTGTATATTAAAGTAACTGCTTAAGAATCATGTGAAAGTGGTCTTCCACTACGCATTGATCAGTAAGCTTTCATTTGTACTGAAAGAAAATGATCAAAGGATAGCATGACATGAAAAAACTCTTCTCATTCTATCCAATAAGATCAATAACATTATCTATTAAATTCATGAAAGTGAAGTGAAAGTTGAAGTCACTCAGTCGTGTCTGACTCTTTGCAACCCCATGGGCTATACAGTCCTTGGAATTTTCCAGGCCAGAATACTGGAGTGGGCAGCCTTTCCCTTCTCCAAGGGATCCTCCCAAACCAGAGAAAGAACCCAGGTCTCCCACATTGCAGGCAGATTCTTTACCAGCTGAGCCATAAGGGAAACCCAAGAACACTGGCATGGGTAGCCTATCCCTTCTCCAGTGGATCTTCCCAATCCAAGAATTGAACCAGGGTCTCCTGCATTGCAGGCGGATTCTTTACCAACTGAGCTATCAGGGAAGCCCATTAAATTCATAAGCCTTGTTTTTAAAAGAAAAGAAAAAAATAAACATACTTAGTTTCATTTCTATCCATGGGCTATGATACAAAGGAACCACTGTTCACAGGAGGTAAGATAACAATGCCATTAATACACATACTAACCAAAAATTCAATCACACAACTGGAGCACAACACTGGTCGTGGAAGATCACCTGACACACTTCCTAGAAACTTCAGGCAAGGGCCTCGGTGAGTGACAGCAATATCACACGGACCATAAACTGAGGTCCACAGGGCTTTACCACGTGGAGCCATTAGCTTTCAAGACCTCTAATGTGTCCTTAAAACGGCATGTTCTTCTGGCATCTCCAAGCTACAATGCACTCATGAAGCTCTTCTGGGCGGCAGGCATTCCAAAAAGGCTCCAGAACCTTACAGCAAGGCTGGGTTCTACTCAACGGCAGAGTGTGTCTTCAACTTCTTTGCATCTGTATGAAGCATGTGATGGTGCTTGGCATACAGAAGAAACTGAAAAACTACCAGTAAGATAGCCAAATGAATAAATTCTGCCTTTTGTCTTTTTGTGCCCTGATACAGATAATTTTCATTTCCAGAAACTGACTTGCTCTAAAAAAAGTAAAACTCCTTCAGATCTAAAATAAGCATAACATAATTTATACACACTTGTAAAAAATTCACATTTCAACATGATCAAGCCTCAGCTGTCTCTTTGTTCCAACCTTATAAATATTGGTAATGATGTTATTAAAACTGAAGTTGCCTGCACTTCTTCTTTAGAAACAGAAAATGCTAAGATAAAAATAAACTACCAGACATAATGCTCACATTTACTGTATATAATTTGTTAATTACATATAATTTGTTAATCTTACTTCTGAATTTTTAAATCGTGATGAAACATTAGTAATTTGAAAAACACAATTGAAAAATTGATGTACTTGTTGACTTAGCAGTCTTAACAGCACCTCATGTAACATGACAAAAAAAAAAACTCAAGCTTAAGGCATTTAGTAAAAGTCCCCTAAAGAAAGAAACGACTGAACATTAGTAATGTGCCACATTCTGGGACCACTTTTAAAAGGCAAATTAGGGAAGGGTCAATACATTAAGTCTAAGTTGACATACCAATTTAAAGCCATTAACAAAAGAAGAAAAAAAATACTGTTTGAAAAGAACATTTGAGAGAGACTAAAAACAGCCATAGTGTGGTTGTGGTCAATTTCTTTTCATCAGAACATTCGCTGTATTAATTTTAGATATGTTAATGCAATCTGCTGCAAACTAATTGCAATTGATCCAGAGACCAGCTTCATAGACATATAATACATATTGACTGCTTCTGCATTGACTCAAAATGAAAAGCTGCTTGGCTCTTAAATTGAAAACCAACACAGTGAACATAGTTCTGAAGCCACTGCTGATATTCAAGCCATCACTTCACAAAGTGATCATCTTACAGAATAATGACCTGTATCTGTCAGCTCTAAACTAGGGCCCCTGTCTTGCTCTAAGACTTCATTAACTCAACTTCATTAAGAACCTGTGATATGTCTAGAGACAAACAAGTTAAGTCTACTTTAGCATTTTCGTGAGAAGAAAAAAGAAGAGAAACACTTTCTAAGTAGAAGGATGTTGTAAAGAATGCTGGAAATGTAATCAACTGCTAAATAATAACAATAATAATAATAATGGTTCTACCTATTATTGACTGAGCATGTTCTATGGGTTAGGCATTATAAGTATTCATATTACCTAATGGCCAAAAAATCATGAAAAGTCAAGTATTATTATCTATCTCTGTACTTACCATTAATGCTAACTAACAAATATTCCAAACTGTCCTCCTATCAGGCACTTCCTTGCCTTAGCTGAAGTTAGGTGAGGCCATGCAACTAGTTCCAGGTAATAAGGCATGAGTACATATGGTACACGACACATCAGGTCCAGCATCTGATTGTCAACCCTTCTACCCATCCAGGCTCTCTCATGACCTGGAGAGTAGCTGATCTATGAGCTAGGGGTTAGAGAAAGGACTGGCCATCCCCAGGTGGATCACAATCAATGTGCAGTGAAAAATAAGCCTTTGTGGACTTTTAGCCATTGACATTTAGCTTTTTGCTGTTGCTGCAGAATTTAGCCTATCTGTGGCACCTAACTTTTCCTAATAAAAACCGTCTTACCAGTTAGGAAACCCAGGCTGCAGGGTTGACCACTGCCCCAATATGACTATAACACAGATGACTATAACACAGCAAAGCTCCTCCGATCAATGGCACCGACTGACTATATAATACTGTTGATGCCCTGTGACTATATTCTGGCCCCACATTCCCAGAAGCCTCTTAATAATAAAGACTGAGACTGGTATGAGCAGGATCATATTCCTGTCTTCAAAAAGCCAAAAATCTACCAGAAATAAGATCCTCATGAAATGCCGGCACAGTGCATGTAAGGAAAAATGTAGCTGCTCCAGGTTTTGGGAGTAAGGGAAGAGAAGGTATGAGTGGATGCTGATCGAAGACTCTAAAATGGTGTGAGTAGTTTATTCTGTCTCCTAACAGGAATGACCTGTTAAAACCCTAAACTATCATCTTCACTGAAGAAGTCAAGAATCTCCCAGGGAATCTATGAACTCTGGAATGTAACAGAAAAGAGTTTAAAGATCATGTGACCCCATGCCTTTTAGTTGTTTCTGCCTGCTTGCCTTCACATTTGCCTGCTGGCCTTTAAATCACTTCCTGTGCTCTTTGCAACTGTGTCTGTGTGCGCACTCAGTCGTGTCCAACTCTGCAATCCCATGGACTGCAGCCCAATAGTTTCCTTTGTCCATGAAATTTAAAAGGCAAGAACGCTAGACTGGGTTGCCATTTCTTTCTCCAGCAGATCTTTCCAACCGAGGGATCGAACCTGTGTCTCCTGCATTGGCAGGCGGATTCCTCACTGTTGAGCCACTAGAGAAGCCATTAGAGTCAGCCTCCTCATTTTGTATTCAAAAACTTGAGATCTAAAGATAGGAAGTAATGTGCCCAGAGATCCTACTGTGAAAGGGACTAATTTCAGTGTCCTTTCCTTCTTTCATACAGCTTTTGGCAGGCAACGTGACCACATCAGGGACAGCATCATATTCTCAAAACAGCTGAAGTGGGTGGGCACCTGGGTTTGGTTTCCTTCCGGATTTCTGTTGCTCCCTTCCCTTCCACATCTCTTTGACAAAGCAAGCATTTCTAAGCTTGGAGGGGAAAGGGAAAATACAACTTAAAAGAAAAACACCACATAAAGATTTAAGGGCCTATGGGAATAAGGGAGCAGAGGCAGAAGAAAAAGAATGAAAAATGAGGGAAAGGACAAAGAGAACCAAGAGATAAAAAGACAATGACTAAGCAGGCAAAAATTCATGAGAAAACTCAAAGCACATAATTAGACAGACAGAAGAAAAAAAAAATGACACGACAAAGCAAGCATCCTTCCCCGTGGTTTTAAAATTAGAGGTGTAGAGACTACTGAAATAACACCATGGGAGGGAAAAAAAACAATAAAGGGGGTATATAAAGAAATGTCACTGAGCTAGGTGCCCCCATCCTCAAAGAGAGAACACACAAGCCACATCTGCCCACCGGCTCTCCACACGCCCTGTCTTTCTTCAGCCTGACTATCCACGGTCCTGCTTCACTCAGGAAGGCAGCACAACAGAGAGTGAGAAAAAGCCGAAAACTCACTACTAACCAGAAAAATAGAATTTACAACAAAAATGAGAAGCCATTTTGCCAAAAGTAACAAAGATGCCATTTGAT